TAAATTAGTTTTGATTATTCCCCTTTAATCATTTAATGCAGGTAGTAACTACAAAATAACAGTAAATCCAGTCCGCATTTATGACGATGTATCTCTGTAGTTGTTCGTAAAATAATTTTTTACTGCGAACTGGTTTAATTTGGGCAAAAAATTCAAGAGACATTTTTTTTTAGAATGAAACAGGCTATCGGAAATAATTTTTTAAATGGTAAAAAAATAATAAGACAAAAAATTACGTTGGAAATAAATTTTAGGGGTTGCGTTTTCCACCCCTTACAACCATGGGGTAAACCAAATAAATTACTGGCTAAGTGTCTTTTTGGTAGTAGAAAATGTCAGGTTAATTTCAATATTGTAACTTGTTTAGTGCTTGTGAAAAAAATTGTTAAACAAATTTTATGTACCCCCTTTAAGGGGCTGTATCTTAACAAGGGATGCTTCAATGAAGTTTCTTTATATGAAAGATCCTATCTTTTTTTCAATGAGGAATCACCCCTTTAAATGTTTTACACTTATTTAGTTACACCCTGTATAGTACCTATCATTTTAATATTTTTTTGGCGATTTATCATCATAAGTTGATGATTTTTGTATTACTTTATAGCAAACGTCAAATAAGACATATGTGTCCACGACTTGGAATTCACTTTTTCCTCAATATTAATTGCCTTCCTATCTTCCGTGTCTCCAGTTAATCATAATATGAAAAGATTTCCAAAATATCGTGGAGAATTAATAAATGCAATCATGGAAAACCTGGAAACGTCAGGAAATTCCTTAAGAAAAATCTACCGAATACGTGGTAGATCCAAATTCAAGCGAATAATATTTAATTCAAAAATTTTTATTAGAAATTCACTGTTACCTATCCGATATTTGACGATCTTGATCAATAACTCTGGACTTTAAAAATTTGAGTAATTTCCTCCTTAGAATAGTTAATTTGACATACGATTCTTTTTTTACCTGGAGTTTTCATCACATCGAACAGGTTTCCAACCACGGGTTTACCCTTTGGCCCAGGTATTTCCGCAATGCACCGCCAAAACCTGCTGCTCTTCACTATCCTCTTATAGATGAAAAATAGCAACGTTGCTGCTGCTATCAGTACTGGAGTAGACCACATTTTCTGTTACCAACTAACTTCACTCGTACTGATTTGAAATAATTTCTTCAATGTTTATATACCTTTGTACGAGTAGTTAACAATGGATATTATCGAAGATGCAATCTCTTTATCAATATACATTTCATTTGGAAAGAAGATTAGGTGTGATTTGAGTGTTATTTGTTTAACGAGAATTGAAGGGTGAGATCCGAAACGATAATATTTCTTTGTTACAATATAATGACGTTATACAGTCCGGGCGAATTAGTTTTTTTCAAAAATTCAAATTTTATGGGCTTAAAATTAAGTAAAAATTACACATAATAAAAGCCTAGTGTATTTGTAGAGGGCGAAAAAATAATTGCTCTTTTTTCAGTTTATCGTTTATATCTCCGAAAATGAACCTCTATTCGACATGAGGTATACTTATCGAGTTGATTCCTAAGGAAATTTGCTACAGTGGTACGCTTTTGTGTAAGCTCACAAACTTTTTTTTACATTGCAAAATTAGCGGTGAAAAAAAAATGTGCAAAATTTTCAACATTAAATAAATAGAACGAATTTGACTGAAATTAGATGAAACTACAGGAAAAGATAACTATTAGGGTGCTCAACAAATACCCGCAATCTGGACCCCCAGTTTCAAAATGGCGGCCTATTGCAAAATTATAATGTCGAAAATGCGAGCGCCTATTCTTCTGCCCAAGTCAAGATATCGAAATTCGGTAAAAAAAGGATACAAAGGTAATTACAATACCTTGCAGCTATGTGAATTTCAGATTTTTAAATTGCAAAATAAAAAGTTATTAACAAAAAAGCAAAAAAACGGTAACTAGAGTCTTTATCTAAAGTCCCTATCTGAATTTTGCCATTTTGCCACATTCAAATCACGTGCTCTACAACGTAAACCATTAATTTGAAATTTTCATCGAAGTCTAAAATATATTATACATTGAATATTATATTTATTTTACTTTTAATATTCTTTAAAAATTAAAAACGGCAAAAAAATAAGTTGATTTAAAAAAAGCATCCCGGTAGCTGCTTTCTAAAAGGCCGATTCTCACTTGCGTGCAAGGCATGTGCTCGGCACAGGCAAAGCACCTGCTCGGCAAAATATCTTAACCATTGTATCTTATGGGTTTTGAGGGGTGTAATTCACACTATACGTGCGGCGTCTCGTTAAGCGGCAGACTTTGCACGCGACGTTCTTCCGAAAGAATATTTGCAGGGCATGTGCCGTGCATGTTCCGGCAAGTGTGAATACTCTCCAGGCAGTCAACTTGCAATCATAGGGTTTTTAGTTGTGTTTCGTCAGAACAAGATGAAATTCTTATTGAATATATCAGAGAAAATGAGGTTAATTACGATTTTTCTCACAAAAAATACTCAGACAGTGTCTAGAAAAACATGATATGGAAAAAATTGGCGGGAAATTGCAACAAGGTAGGTATATTTATTAAACATGTATTGATCTATACAGATATATTAAAACAAACACAATTTCTTAACAATAAAATTTTGTAATTTAAAGAAACGTCTTTTTCTTTTTCGGGAATTTTTATTTTCCTGCCCATCTTCATCTAAGATTAGAACAATTTTTACCAAAATGGAAGTCGCAAACATTATTTCACAAAGCTAGGGAACTACTACATGCGGCATGTCTGTCGCAGTGTGAATTGTCTCTGAAAACTCGGCCCATGCCGAGTATGTGCCCTGCCATATTCCTGACCGAGAAATAGTCAAATTTCTGACATTTTCAGGTACTGAAATCTTTAAAAGTAAAACGTGTAGAACAAAAGTAAGCACAAAAATAAAATCCTTGATGTTTTGTTTATTCATTGTTACCATTTATAATAAATTTACTCAAATAAAATAATAACTAAAAAAAGCGTTTGTAAAACATGCGTTTGCTGTTATTCTAACCTCACATTTTAAGAATTATTTTCACGTACTTATAAATAAAAGTAAACAATTTTATATGTAGGACTAAGCAAGTAAATGTTATAAGAATATTTACATATGGAATTATATATAAACATAAAAAGTTAGTATTTTCGTAAATTTCAGTACCTAAAACCTTGATGGTTTGATCGTTTTTTGCACCTGTTTATTCGTTTTACTGCGGCGTCTTTGAAAATACTCAGGTGGCATGACATAACATTCCTATTATTTGATAAGCTTTAGATTATTCAGTTATTAAATGTTTGAAATTATTTGTCTTTGCGGAAAACACTATTTAAAGAATATGGTGCCCTTAAGTGTCACAATCCATTTGTTAAGCAATAATTTTGAGAAGCGAGCGCACTATGACGTCACAGCGCTCCCCTCTCCTGGTTACCGCTGAGCCACGTGAGCCGCCGCGCGGGTTACTCTGTCTTTAACGTACGTTTACTTGGTCATTTCTGTTGAGAATAATATTGAAGTTTTCATAATAACTATTGTTATATTTAATATGTATAGAAAAAAGAAGATAGAGAGATAGGAAGTTGTTGAAAATAAATAAAAGTAGATGTGACAAATACATATAAATTGCTGAACTGTTAAAAACATAATTTTGTATTTTTAAAAGATAATAAAGAGAGAATGAAGTCATTCATAGTTATTTGTAATAGAAATTTAACAATTTCTTGGTCGAATTCATTAAAAAAAAATCAGCGTATAAAGGAAGTCTTCTACTTTACAACGAGCCCAAGTTTATTACAAAATATTAAATATAACAGTCATAATACCATTTTTAAGGAAAAAAAAATATTATCTCGGCTTTTATTGGTTGGATCGAGACGCTTTTTTTAAATTAATGTTTTTTTAAGCACTATTTGATGTACTTGGTTTGAAATCTGTATATTAAAAAACCGCCGAGATAAGGACCCTAGTTTGGAACTGCAGTGTAGACTGCCTCAGCTGCCCGACGAAGACGAGGAATTCGAGACAGTGGCTGAGCGCGCGGCCCGACGCGTCGCGTCGTTAGAGCCAGAAAATGACATAATCCCCCCACAACCCCTGACGAACTAAGACTGACAATACGCAGACTTAAAAACAGAAAAGCCCCCGGACCCGACAATATACATAACACGACACTTAAACGACTACCACACAAGGGCCTCATGGCCCTACTAAACATAACAAACGCGACACTCAGACTAAGACACTTCCCTAACCGCTGGAAAACAGCAAACATAATCCTTATCACAAAACCCAACAAAGATTACACCTTCCCATCCAACTACCCGCCCATTAGCCTGCTCCCGGCTATGAGCAAAGTGGTAGAAAAAATCATCCTAACCCGTCTAAGAACCTACTCCCAAGAACTGCAAGTCATTCCAGACGAGCAGTTCGCCTTCCGACCCAATCACTCCATCGAACTCCAAATCCTTCGCCTTACCGAGCACATCACGGCGGCCTTCAGCAGGGGACAGTACACTGGTGCTGTTTTCCTGGACGTCGCAAAGGCCTACTGATGAAAATGCTCACCAACCAATATCCCATATCATTTACCAAACTCATAAAATCCTACCTACACCACCGAAAATTCCGCATCCAAATCCAAGATTCCCTTTCCACCACCCGTCCCATAGAGGCCGGTGTCCCCCAGGGCACCGTCCTGTCCCCACAGCTATACATTATTTAGAACTCCAACATATACTTATACGCCGACGACCTGACAATCACTTCCCAATCCGTAGATCCTACATATTCCGCCTCCCTCCTCCAAAAGTCCCTAGACCAACTTGAAATCTGGTGCAACAGGTGGAAAGTCAAAATTAATCCCAACAAAAGTTCGGCTATCCTTTTTACCAAACGAAAAATCCCACAAAACCTCGACAGACTGACACTATCCCAGGAACCCATCTCCTGGAATCGACAAACACGATACCTGGGCGTGACGATGGACCAGCGTCTCACGTGGAAACCGCACATCGTGGAGACGGTGGCGCGAGCGAAGACCACCAGGGCTAGGCTCTATCCCTTACTCAAAGGTGGAAACACCCTCAGTTTAAGGAATAAGCGAACGCTTATCAAGGTGGTACTTCAACCGCAGCTAACCTACGCCTCCACGGCGTGGGGTCACGCGGCAAAAAGCCACTTAAAGTCATTACAGGCTGTGGAAAACATAGCCCTCCGCACGGCCACCGACGCGCCCTGGTACGTAAGAAACACTGACATATTACGAGACTTACAATACACAAACGCTACACAGACAATAAGACAAAACGCGGAGAAACGATTTGACGTAGCCGCTAGACATGACAATCCCCTCCTCAGGCAAGCCGTTGACTACGTACCCGACGTGACCGACAAACACAAAAGACCTAGACACCAACTTTTTGACCCTGGGTGACCACCCCAATGACCCCCCCCCCTGCCCGCTAACCTTTTCTGTTTCAGAGACAGCCAGGATCAAGAAACGAAGACAACGACACACACACACACATACACACCCCCCATACCCTCCTTACCCTCCCCTCCCGCGCTAGCCTAAGGGCCACCTTAGCAAAGCGCATCCCAGGCTGCATAGCCGCACTACCCTACCCAACCATACCACACATAAACATGACACACCCCCGGGGTTTACACAGACGAGCCGGCGAAGCAAGAAGAGCGCCAGAAGAAAGGGCCCTAGCCGGCGGGGCCCAGCCAGGACAAAAGGAGGTCCCACAAAGCACCTACACCGGCCGCATTTGCGGTCGGGGTAAACGACGGATGGGACCCACCTACGAAGGCTGTCCAGGGGCCTACACGAGATGAGCCAGGAGCCAGGATAAAGAGGGATAATCCCCCTCGATCCCAAATCATTGAGGCCAATTTCTTTGTTTTTTTGTTAATAACTTTTCTATTTTGCAACTTAAAAATCGGAAATTTACACAGCCGCGAGATAATATAATTTCCTTTCGATCATTTTTACCGAATTTCGATATCTTGACTTGGGCAGAAGATATACGCGCTCGCCTTTTGGACTTTATAATTTTGCAGTAGGCGGCCATTTTGAAATTGGGGGTCCGGATTGCGGGTATTTGTTGAG